AGAGAGAGAGAGAGAGAGAGAGAGAGAGAGAGAGGAGAGAGAGAGAGAGAGAGAGAGAGAGAGAGAGAAGAGAGAGAGAGAGAGAGAGAGAGAGAGAGAGAGAGAGAGAGAGAGAGAGAGAGAGAGAGAGAGAGAGAGAGAGAGAGAGAGAGAGAGAGAGAGAGAGAGAGAGAGAGAGAGAAGAGAGAGAGAGAGAGAGAGAGAGAGCATAGACAGACAGATAGACAGAGAGAGAAGGAGAGACAGACAGACAGATAGATAGATATTCAGAGTATTTGTGAAACATTCTGCCTTCCAGAGTTGTTTCATAAGTCTGCATTTCGATTTTATCTTTTCATTCTCTGTTATTTTATCGTTACTGCAATCATTATCACCATGTATTCTCTCAGCTCTCATAATGTCCCTCGATCAGCAATAGCACACTTACACCTTTTACACATTTATTAATCTGTATTTGAACATTTGCAGGCGAGGTCCGTTCATTTCATTACATGCTTTTGATGTTCGTACAAAAAGTGAATCCATTGCGCACCCCCTCCAGTAAATGTGAGTGTGCGTACATGTGCACATGCGTGTGTATGTGTTTGTATACATGTGCATTCATGTGTTTATAACCACCATGCGTGTGAGACAACAATGTTTTGAATGTTTGATATATAATTATTTATTCGCTCTAATGTTCTTTTTATTTTCAATTTCTCCTTGACATCATGCTCGGCACATGCACCTTGCTTCCGAAATTGCACGGAGTAGCACGCTGCCACACTCGCACGGTGAAAAAGGCTGGAATCGTCACATTGATCCGATAATTAACCTCGGCGGCAACTTTGTCACCAAAAGTTTCCATGTCGCCATTTCCCGGAAACATTTTTTCTTTAACGAAACCGTTGATGAAATTCGCTTTAATTAAATGTCCTTATTGCCTCTCGGCTAATTGAGAGAGCGTTAGTTATAACATAACACAGCGGCGTTTGTGTTGACGATAATGTAATCAACAAAACAACCCTGTTAATGATATGGTTAATGTCGCTTGGGGCGCCATTAGAGTGCTTAACTGATGTATTTTCGGCTTTTGTGACATTGTTAGCTGAATGCACTGCCGGGTCGCTTGGGGGGGGGGGGGGTTAAATGACCGTTGATTACATGGCATTACAGGGACACTCTCTCTCTCTCTCTCTCTCTCTCTCTCTCTCTCTCTCTCTCTCTCTCTCTCTCTCTCTCTCTCTCTCTCTCTCTCTCTCTCTCCTCTCTCTCTCTCTCTCTCTCTCTCTCTCTCTCTCTCTCTCTCTCTCTCTCTCTCTCTCTCCTTCTCCTTGCCTTTCTTTCTTTCTATTTTCTCTTTTCTTTCTCTTCTCTCTTTTTTCTCTCTTTTTGTTAATCCTCTCTCCTCTCTCTCTCTCTTCTCTCTCTCTCTCCTCTCTCTCTCTCTCTCTCTTCTCTCTCTCTCTCTCTCTCTCTCTCCCTCTCTCTCTCTCTCTCTCTCTCTCTCTCTCTCTCTCTCTCTCTCTCTCTCTCTCTCTCTCTCTCTCTCTCTCTCTCTCTCTCTCTCTCTCTCTCTCTCTCTCTCTCTCTCTCTCTCTCTCTCTCTCTCTCTCTCTCTCTCTCTCTCTCGCTTCTCTTCTCTCTATCTCTGTCTAATTGTTTTACATATATATATGTGTGTGTGTGTGCATATTCAGTTGACATTGTTGTCTATCTAAATGTAACTAAGATCTATCAAGTACCACATCCACACAGCATCCCTTGCTTCGTGAACTAACAAGAATCGAATCAAAAGTTTTTTTTTTCTCTCTCTCTCTTCTCTCTCTTCTCTCTCTCTCTCTTTTACCGACCTATCACGTCCTGGATTTCTCTCAAGGTTTTAGGCAGCCACACGTGAATGGTTTCTATTCTGCCCCCTTCCCTGTTCTCTCTCTCGCTCTCCCTCTCTTCCTTTCTCGGTCTCTACCCCCACCCTGTTTTCTATCTGTTTGTATGTCTGTCTGTCTCTATCTATTTCCCTTTTTTTCTCTTTCTCTTTCTATCCATTTCTCTCTCTCTATTTGTCTCTCTGTCCACCTATCTATCCCTTTCTCTCTCCTCTCTCTCTCTTCTCTCTATCTATATTTCCCCCTCTATCTACCTGTCTATCTCTCTATCTCTCTATATGTATATGTGTATGTATGTATGTATGTATGTATGTATGTATGTTATGTATGTATGTATCTATTATTATATCTATATCTATTATCTATCTATATATATTATATATTATATATATATATTATATATATATAATATATATATATATATTCTTCCTCTTTCCTCTCCTCTCATTCTCTTTCCTCTCTCCGTCCCTTTCTCATTGTAATGATTAGTTGTCTGTCAGTTTAGTCAAATGTCTTCTACAGTTAGGAAGGGGAGGGAGGGGGAGGGGCAGGGGAGATATTGGGGATGGGGAACGAGAGGGAGGGTGAGGGGGAAGATACAGGGGAGGGAGAGAAGGTAGGGGGAGGGGAAAGGAAAGAGAGGGATATAAGAAGGAGGTGGTAGAGAGGGCAGGGGGAGGGGGAGGGGAAAGGGAGGGGGGCATTGGAAGGGGTGGGAAGATGGGCAGGGGGGAGGGGCAATAAAAGAGAGTATTTATCTCATTAAGGCATTACTCCATCGACTGAGAAATTATATTATTGCCTCTTTATTCACTTATTTCAGGCTATTTACTTTCGCTGTCATGTATTTCTCTTTTTTTTACGGAAAAAAAAGGATTAAATCATAAATTGGAACGAAATATCTCCAAAGAGACAGTTAGACAACAGAGAGAGAGAGAGAAGAGAGAGAGAGAGAGAGAGAGAGAGAGAGGAGAAGAGAGAAGAGAGAGAGAGAGAGAAAGAGAGAGAGAAGAGAG